TCTATTCTCAGTTAATAATAAAAGGGGGGTACTTACAAAATTAGTGTTTTATTAATTAACAATGATCCTGTGTTGCGAATTTGTGAGCTTAAAATGCTTTTTTTTCTGAAAAAAAAAAACTAATGAAAATAACTACGTAACTCAATGCCAATTAAATTACAATAAAACTCAATAAATACACAAAAAGTTAAACATAATTAGCTCTAATTAATTTTCATCTAACAAATTAAAACAATTCAATATCAACAATGAGATTGAACCATTAGTTGATCTGATAAGATATCATTTAGCATGAGTGGATTTTTTTCAATTGAATGCACAAAGTTTGTGACAAAGCCTTTGACTCAGTTTACCATTGGATGACTATCTATTGAATGCATAGTTTTCATTATACATATTTGACTTACTTGTATTATCTAGGTTCTTAATTATTTGTTTGACATGATAAGGCTTGTTTTCATTTTGCTTCATAATCGTGGTTTGGATTAAGGTATTGAAGCTATTCAACAAAAGAGTTGTTACAAATTTTATGTGTTAAATAACAATAATTATAAATGTTTTGACTTGATTTACCTATTATTATTACAACATTGATTATAGGAAAGGAATATGTAAGTTGATATCTGATTTTCCCCTAAAAAAGAATCTTATTCAAGTGTTTTCATGTCAAAGTTATACATCATTCTATTAAATGTGATACCAGTTACTATGTTTAGGTTTTCATTATATATAGCATTCTTATTATGGACTAATTAATATTGAGTAAGCTGTGTTAAAGAAATAAGTCTAGGTATTATCTTAGAAATTTGTATAATTCCTGTTATGGCTGAATTTGCTGCTACATTTATTGTTTGTTATGAGACTGAGCAGTAGGACAGGCTGGTATGGAGATACATGTTTATTGGTTTATTTTTCTTATGCTTGGAATAAAGCTTTGTGTATTTATGTTGTTTTAATAATGTTAATTTGATTTTAACATTTGTTGTTGTTCAGTTTTTTTTTGTGAATGTGTATTTATTTACAGCGTATTCCAGATGATTTCAAAGACATGTTAGATGATGGATTCGTGAGTGTTGAATTGTTTGTGCATGGTGATTGTAGAACTTGGGATGTTACTATGGTACATGAAGAGGATGGAGATGGTTGGAAAACTGTTTTGAAAGCTGAAGAATTGTTAAATAAATCTATTTGTTTTAGTTTTTTTATTGTAGGAATGAATTCGAAGTTGCACATTATATATAAGTGATTGAAGAGCTATTTGTGATTGACAAAACATGATAGAATATCTAGTTGGTAACTTAGTTAAGGATTTTGCTTATTAACCAATATGTATTTTTTATAGTAAGAGCACAAGAATAAGATTGATCCTATTTTGAAATGTTATGATAGGGAAGCCCAAAAAAATATGGGCCAACATTATAATTGATTAGCTTATGGGTTTTATGTATAGGTGCCAACATTATAATTGATTAGCTTATGGGTTTTATGTATAGGTAATTAAAAGGGATTTGATAATATATGTAGTTGTAACAAACTTGAGTTCAAATAAGTGCAAAAAGATAATACAAAATAGTCAAAATGCAATTATGGTTAAGTGCTTCTAGACATAAGCTAAGTTGATATAGGTTTTACAATAGCTATATTAGGCAAAGTAAAACATGTTTGTTATTTTTTTAGCCTTTTATATACAACTTATAATGGTCTAAGTTTAGTTGGCTGAAATTTCAAATATTTTGCTATCTTTTTTGTGTGGAGCAGGTTTGGTGAATTGATAATCAATAGCTTGTTTGTTGTAATTTGTTTTTTTTTATAATATGCTTGATTTTTTAGAATAAAATTATGGGGTTAGGATTTGACTAATATATAATTTGACTTACTTGAAGGTTTAGGAACTAATAAATGGAGAAGATAAACATGAGTAACTGAATGCACGAAGTTTATGACAAATAATTTGACTTAGTTCTAGGATTGGATGACTATCAATTGAATGCATAGTTTTCATTATATATAATTGACTTAGTTGCATCATCTGGGATTAATATATTGTTACTTATTTATCTGTTTGACATAAGAAGCCTTGTGATGAGTCCTGTTTTCACTTGGCTGGATATCCGTATTTTGGATCAAGGCATAGAAATCGTTTTATTAAGTGCTTTAACATCACTTAGATGTATTTAATGTGATAATTCTCTGGGAACATTATAAATGACAAATGAATGACATTAATTATGTATGTTTTGACCTTGTTTTACCTATCATTATTATGTCAACCTTAGTAATTGCATTTGTTCTCCCAAGTTAGCAAAAAAAAAAAGAAAAAAAATTAGCAAAAAAACGCTTTGGACTCCCCTTTTCTTGCTCACTCTGTTTCTCCTTCCCTTTAGCTTTCTCTTTTCTCACTCGTCTTTTATGATTTTGATCATGTTAGAAAGTTTCTACAAAGTATGATCATTTCCCTACTCAACTACACTTTAAGAAAATATTTTCCTTCCTTTATTTTCCATAACTCGCTTTCTCTTTCTTAGTCTCTATTCTCTTTGTTCTTCTTTTTATTGGTTTCATAACTTATGGATCTCTCTCTCTCTCTCCAACCTTTCCTATCTTATGATTATCTTTACTTTTATTCCCCCCAATCTCATCATTATCATCTCTTTTTTCATCTTTTGTCACATTTTAACACTTAGGTTTTTCAAATTTTAGAATCTTTTTGAAAAGTATTGTTTTTCTTTTCAAATTCTATAATCTGTTCGAAAAGTATTGTCTATATTTTCTTTATTAGGTTAAATATAAGAATGTGTTCGCGCATAACGTATTTTATCATAAGGTTGACATTTTAATTCTAAGGTGCTACTACTCCCTCCGTGTTTTAATAAATGTTACTTACTAAATTTGGTCGTATTTTAATAAGTGTTACACTTTCTTTTTTGGCAAAAGCTACACTTTAATATTATATCTGACTCTTATCATGATCCCCACCTAAACCACTACTTTTTTTTTCCTTTTTTCTTTTTTTGTTTCTCCACTCTCACATTTATTGCTTCAGTAAACTATGAACTCCACTATCTTTCTTTTACAATTTTTAATACTCCAATTACCCCACTTAACTCTTATTTTATGTAAGTCAACTAAATTACCTAAAACTATGTGCTGGTCAAAGTGTAACACTTATTAAAATACGGAGGGAGTAATCAGTTGAATTTCTCATAATTGTCACAAAACCACACTGGTTAGCTAATTTCATGTATTGAAATAATCAAGTCCAAATCTAATTGTCGAGCTCTATACGCCCTTTCTTGCTCACTTTTTTTTGAATGGAATAGGGAGGGGTGATTTCGATAAATAATAATAGTCATTTAACACTTACAATCATCCCTTAAGAGATCTAAATTCTCAATACAAGAATTAAACACCCCAAAACTAATGGCATCATTTCTGAACTGCTCCTGGATAATATAGATGTCTTTGCATTGTTCTTGACGGAGCTCCATTGATGTATAGTCGCAAAAGTGATAAAACTTAATTGGTCATCAAGATCTGCAAATTTGCATGACAAATCTTCTAAATTTGCACCCCTATACCAATAAACCTGCAATTCCACAAATTTGCAAGACGAATCTTCCAAATTTATATCCCTACACACACTAAAAACAAACAAACAAACAATACTAAACCCTTCATGGAGGGACTGACTATAATCACCATACTATTGGTGATCTTTATTGGCTAAAAATATTAAATTAAAGAAGAATTTGGGGCTAACCATCGATAAAAATCGATGGCAGACCCTAAGTTTCACTATAATGGCTAGGTTTGAAAAGAGAGAGAACAACCCCTTTCTTGCTCACATTGTTTCTCTTCCCTTTAGTTTTCTCTTTCTCTCACTCGTCTTTTATGAATTTGAGCATTTTACAAAAAGTATTTAAAAAGTTGCTCAACTTCTTAGTCAACTACACTCTAAAAAGTGTAATCCTTCCTTCCGTTATTTCCACAAACTTTCTCTTGCTCTTTCTCGGCCTCAGTCTCCCTCTTTTATTTATTTTATAAATGTACTATTAGTTAGTTTGACTTTCTATACAAATTATAACATTTTAAGTGACCATCTTTCTTTCTTTCTCTCCTTGTTCCTCTCCCTCCCTCCTTTCCTATCTTATAATTTTGCAAAATTTATAAAGCTTATTTGTATTTGTGTTTCTCCCATCCTCACTCATTCTCCTCTCTCTTTCCATCTTCCTTTACATTTTAACAATTAACTTACTACCACTACAAAAAAATGAGAATAGGCAACATACAATATTGCAACAAAATGACAAATGTTGTCTTTTGTGGGAAAAGGCAACAATACTTGTTTGTTACCTTGATCTTGAACAATCTATATCACAATACAATGCAACAATTTAAAAAGTGTTGCTTTAGTGTATGTAAGACAACAATATTATAAAATGTAGCCTTTTTTTAACATTAGGCAACATTTATTTCACATGTTGTCCAAAAAGATAACAACAATAAAATTGTTATCTATGCAACAAGTTCAGATAAGTTCAGTTAAGTTAAGATAAGATCAGATAATTAAGTTCAGATAAGTTCAGGTAAGTGAAAATCAAGTGAATAGAACGCACCCTTAGTAGGGTTAGCTTATTGCTTGAGTTATTGATGTTATAATATTAAGGGTGTGTTCTATTCACCTGATTTTTACTTATCTAAACTTATCATATCTTATCTAAACTTATCTGAACTTACCTGAACTTATTAGACCTTTTTAAAACTTATTTTAGTTGTAAGTTGAACTTGGACAACCCTTATCAGAACTTATTTTCCCTGAACTGAACTTATCTGAAATTATCTGAACTTATTAGACATGAAATAAGTGAAAATAAGGTGAACAGAACAGACCCTAATTTAAGTAGTTTAAAAATAAATTTAGACTTTTAGAAAGAGAAACAACTTGGTGTGCTCTGTTTACTTGGTTCTGAACCCCTCAATCTAATCCAATCCCAAAATTTTTATTCTTTCTGTACACTTCAATACAATCCGATTCGATATGAAAAAAAATAAAAATTTGTGTACATCTGGTTTAGTTACTAACCTTTAATTTTTTACCTGTTTGTAGATGATAACTTTTATCATTAAACATAGATAACGTTTATATATATTTGGAGTAGTTTTTGTTATTAACGGACTAACTTGTAATCATTTTAGGACAATAGTACTATGAACATACAATATTTGTTGTACATCCGATTTCTTACAAAAAAAAAAAAAAAAAAGGGTGTAAAATAATTCATTTTTAATTAATTTGAATTTATTTTTATTCCAATAATAAACTACCACCTAATAGGATTAGCAAGTTGCAATCCACTATTAACCATTTTAATATTTCATCGGATCATTGATCAAAAAAAAGAAAAAATAAAAAATTCATCGGATCATATTAGATCTTTAATTTATTAACATTGACTTATTACTCCCAAGTAAAATTCCCTAAAGCTATAAAGAACCGAAGGGACAAGTACTCCACATTTATTTCCAATAAATTTAAAATAAAAACACCATCATCCTCAACACCTGAATCTTCTCCACATTTATTTTCAATAAAAATGAAAAAGAAACACCATTATCCTCAACTCCACAACGCCAAATTCTCCTCCAATACCCGCGAAATGGTGAATTATTTTTGGCTCGAAAAAGTTTCCACCATGAATCAGCAGTTACTCCACTTTTCAGTTGTTAATCTCACTATACAACACACTAATCACCTTAAAATCATCATACCCTCAATCGGTTATTCATCTCCTTCCTTTCTACTCATCAGGTGAAAGATCGTTAATTAAGAGTATTGAGTATCTTCTGATTTTATAATTAATAAGTTGCTTTGCTCTCTAATCATATTGTTTCCTATGCTTTTTGATGTTCGATTTGATTTTTAAATGTAATATCTTCTAGGTTGTCTTAATTCTAAGCCTTCGTATTTTATTTTTTTTGGTTTTGTTTCTAGGTTAGCTTTATGATTGATTGAATTACTAGCAACTTTCTAATTTCTGGTTGTTGCTTGTGGTTATTATGCTTTTGTTAAGGACTGGCTATAGCTATGACTGTAATTGGTTGATGATATAGATAATTTTGATGCTTTTTTTTGGAAAGATTTTGGATTTGGATTTCAATCTGTTTTATACAAAATATATGACTTGTCGATTGCTTTGAGTTGGTAGTGACAATGGAGATGAAATTAGCTTATAAGTAGTGATCAAGTTAAACTTGTGCAGTCATGTACAAGTTTTTTGATTGTTTGCTTTGAATTTGATTAAACATATGAATTTTAAATGTTTTCAGGGAAGATACTTGTATATGGGCATAATACTATTGTAGGGTCAATGCAGCTTTAGTTGCTTGATTTGTTTTTGTGTTAAATTATTGACAGACTACTTTCTATACTGCTTGTGCAGAATGAGGGAAAAGCTATGAGTGTGTTTAAATATATAGGAGTTAGGGTGAATGGTAGGCAATTTGTTATTAGTAAATGGGATGATACTAAATTTCCAAAAATCATCCTTTTAATCCGATTAATTTAATTTTTGATGAATATTTTGGTATTTGATAAATAAAATTATAAATTTTCATAAACTATGAAGACTACGAAATTATAAATTTTCTAGTTGAGTTGACTTGCCGGACTTTTCTTTGTTTCTTCCTTTACTCGCTAATATCTTCAATCTTATCCAATAAGTTACAAAATGATACTAACAAAAATCTACAGATCGTAGCCCACCTCAGAAAGTCAGTTTCAATTTTCAACTTATTTTCATATTGTGCTAGCTGGTTTAAGGAGCTTGTTTAGTTGTGGTTTGATTTTGCGTTTTTATGTGATTTTTGAGGTTGAGTCGTATTTATTCCCCTTATTTAGCTTAAATAGCCAGAGATTAATTAAAGTTTTTTCTATTCTACCTCTTATTAAACATAGAGGCAATAAAGAATTAAGAAGCTTCTGAAATATATATGCAGGAAGTAGCTAGGGAATTCATGGTGAGGGATGATGGTCTTGTTTTGAATGATAAGGTAGCCAGACACTTGTTTTTTAGGCTTATTTTAGGCTTGTGAGGTACAAATTCTTTTTTCAATCTTAAGCGCTTAGTAATTAAAAGCATGTTTATATCATTACATGTATAGTGTGGAATAAATTGCTGAAAGTAGCTGACATTCTAAAAATTCTATCTTAAACCAACATCACCAACTTAAACAAGGACCTTTGTGGAATGTTATTACTTAATGCTTCTTATCTCACCATGATTGAATTCTAGATGTTAATTATGACAGATTGCTCTAGGACCATGAATGTACAATGAGAATTCATTGCAAGAGGATGGAAATTACCCTTCTGTGGATTAACTTAAAAAGAATCTTCAAATTGCAGATGGTATTCAATAATGAAAAGGATTATCATTGTAAAAGAGGATTTTTTGTAAAAAGAAGCAGTGCCTATCGAATTCAGCTTCCCAGTGTGGCAGTGTTTAAATGCCTCAACTAAGTACTCATGGTTAACTATGATTCTTGTGTTCTATATCAGGCTAAGAGAGCTCTAAGAGCATTGAAAGGATTGGTAAGACTGCAAGCACTTGTCAGAGGGCATGCTGTGAGAAAGCAAGCTGCTATAATTCTTCGTTGTATGCAAGCTTTAGTGAGAGTTCAAGCTCGGGTGCGAGCAAGGCGTGTGCGTTTGGCTTTAGAAAGTCAAACTAAACAGCAGAAAGCTCATCAACAACTTCTACAGGAGGCATGTATTCGAGAAATAGAGGTGATTACTTGCTCTATTGTCAACGTCTATTATCTCTTTGGTTGTTTTGATTGGGACTGGGATCTGGCAATCTAAAAATATTATTAATCAGACCTTTGTAACCTTAATTCCTCTTAGGCAACCATCATTACTTGGATCGATTTCATGGTTTAATAGTAACCATGGGATTATACTATACATGAGGCTAAATCTATCCAACATTTGAAAAAAAAAGCAATTTAAGAAATCTCTGTTTATTGACCCCTGCTTAGTTGCCATGTGAAATTTCAGTACGTTCTTGTCATATAGTGCATGCTTATTCTTATGTTCAGAATATTTTGTCATGTACCTGCCTATCCTCATACACAGTTAGTTTTATTTCCATCCTACAATTCATTACAAAATTTTAGATATTAATTCCCTTAGGTTTGGAGTGTTGTTAGTAGATTCTTAAAATCAGTGCTTGGTTTTTGGTAGTAGTGTTACTTCCCCACTAATGTTTAATTTACTCCAAGAAATTATAAGATGATACCAAAAAATTAGATGGATACCAGTAAATCAATTTAGATATTAAAAAAAACCCAGATAATTGAATTTAGAGTGAAAATTTAATGGAGAGTTTGGAACAAAAGAGGTTATAATGTATTCAACTTTATGCTAAACTGTGAGACTAGTAAAGTACATTATGAAAGAATTGTCTCTTTATGCTAGCCTTTAAAAAAAACAAGGCATGATTGAGATGTGTCAATTATAGCTTGAGGTCACAGCTCATCGCTTTTATTAAACGATTGAACTATGTTAGGGAATTCATCAAGGTCTATGTTACTGAAATCTGATTGTGAAGCATCATAATATTTTTTTGATGGAGTCCATGTGTGTCAATTGGTATAGACTGATATTTTTAGACCAAATTTAAATAACAATGTAAGAAAAAAAAAATAAAGCTTGAGACTTTTATATTAACTATGGTAACAAGGGATAACTTGACAACTTGAGGTGATTAGTCTCAACGATGGGTTACTTCCGATTAACAATCTCTTTTACAAAATTCCTCACAATGCAAACATAGAGATTATTACTTCTTTAATTCCTATATATACTCAAGCTTACAAATAAACCTAAAATTAAAGCATTTTGTCACTATTCTATTAGAGAATCAGCTCTGCAACTCCAATTTCACCTTACTCAGCTCCCTCCTTGAGTGGAGAATTAAAATTTCATTTGTCCTGCTGTGCTTTGATGCCATGTTTTGGCTGCTATTTGTGCTCTGATCTCCCTCTTGGGACATCCCTTTATCTGATTCTTGCTGGTGTAAACCTGTAACTATGGTTTGGATATTAGGTGTATTACATAATTCTTCTCTCATTACCCACTACATCACTCAATCAAGTTCTAGCATTAATTCTTCAATGATTTCTTAATTGATTCTCATCTGGAATTGGAATTTGATATTCATGTTTTCTTTTTTTTTTTTTTTTTTTTTTTTTTTTTTTTTTTTTTTTTTTTTTTTTTTTTACGTTAGTCAATATGCATATAGCTATTGTTTGGCTGTATAGTTCTTACTCTTTATTTGTACAAGCTATAGGAAACAAGCTTCAACACTTACCACGCACTAAACCACCCACGCACACCTACCACTAAACCACCACGCACACCCATTTCATATATAACACCTATCTTGTTTTCTGGTTGTAGAGCACCACAAATATATTTTACCATCACCTCCAAAGTCCATACTATATGATTATGTAGAGCATTATTGTAAACTACCTAGTTGACCAGGACACATTAGATATCGCTTATTATTATTATTATTATTATTATTATTATTATTATTATTATTATTATTATTATTTTACCTTTTATTCATTGATTGTGTTTTGTTAGTTAGTAGTGGCTCTAGTGCTATTGGCCCCACTATGTAGGTAAGTTCGGAGTTTCTTTTCTTCTTTTTGCTTCACTAGCACTACAACAAAATTAAGCAAAGGTAACAGTGAAAAACCATTGCCTAAGATAAAAAAAGTGTTGCCTTGCAGCTAAGGCAACACATATGAGGCGTAGTTTATGCCCCCGTTGTCTATTCATAAGGCAACGCATTTTTATTCAAAGGCAACAATTTTAAAAGCCATGGTAAAATAATACCTAAGGCAATACTTTTCCAAAAGCAACAAATGAAAAATGTTGCCACTTAAGGAGACAATTTAAAACTATCACCTTATGTCATAATATGCAATAACCTATTCCATTGTTGTATTTGTTAGTAACAATACAAAAGTGTTGCCAAACATATTAAAGACAACACTTTAAAAACTATTATATATAAATTTAGAAAAACTAAAATGAATCAAATTTTTTTTTTTTTCTACTGTAAGTAATCATATATTTTTTTTATACTACATTAAAGGGGTGGAAATGAATCATTATATTCTTGTGAAGTTGATATAGTAGAAAAATCTTTAACATTAAAATAAGTTATTAACATTTAACTAAATAATTCCAAAGTAATAAAATTAGTAAAAGAAATATAAAAAATAATAATAATAATATCAACATGTTTTCAATACCTATACATCTCAATAACCTGTTTTTGAGTATATTGCAGGCTCTAATTTTAGTTTAGCTAATTATTTGAAGAAAAAAATGTCCAAACGATATATAACAACAGCAAATTCAAATTGATCGATGATGTCACATTGTTCTTCTTTCTTGCTTCCTTCTTCATCTTCTTCTTATTCACTTTCCATATTTACAATTCAGTCCCTATAAAAAAAGAAGCCTAGAATAAATATATTTCAAATGTACCAATGTAAATGCATAACTAATGACATAATGTTACTAAAATTTAAAAAGGCTTGGATAATTTCATTTGTAAGACGAACAATTAAACTTCATATTATCTCTCAAATGCACCACAAAAAGAGAAAAAAAATGAAAACTTTAGTCTATATCTACCTCTACTACTATGCGTAGCATAGAAATCAAAGGGTTTATACCTTGGATGTAGAAGCTAAAGAATGAAGTTGAAGCTTACCATCCTTCACGGATTGACTATCAAAAAATAAAGAGCCAAACATGCTTATATCAAAAGACATTTGAGGATTTTGTTGCTGAAGTTGAGAAAAGGAGTGAAGACCATTTGCCATCTCCCTTCTATCTTGTTGTCTTTTATCCTCATATTTTTTTTGCATAGCTTCAAGCCTTCAACCTCCTTAGCATGCTTCTTTTCAACTTCCTTCATTAGTGCAATAATATAATGTTTCTACAACAATGAAAAAGTATGGTACACCAAAGTTCAACATGATATATAATAGACCTAATATAACTATATTTATTCTGGTTAATAATAGTCATTAATTAAATTAAAACTATATTGTGCTGCATACCAAGAACACTTGCTGATCTAAACAAATTAAAAGGTTAGAAAACGGAAGGTTAGGCCAAAGTAATTTAAGCTAAGTAAAACACATGGTCTATGGTTAGCAGAATGGTATGCTACACAAAAATTACTAAAAATGTACTAGGAAAAAAACGGGCTATTATATTCACAAAAACTCGGTTTAAATTAGTTGGTATCATAATCGTACATGAAAAATTTAGTTCATTAAGGTTTTGTTTAGTAAGAGTCTAGGTCATATCCATAATTATATCTTTTGTCAACTAATTTGTGTAATTATAAAAATCAATGCAAATCATTCAATTTCTGGTTACTATATTCAAGTTTAACCCATGTCCAATTCATAAATTTTGAAGCAAGTACATACTCTGCAATACAATACAGGTCAAACATACCAAATCATATACAGGACAAGTGCACTTTTCAACTTTAAAGAAAGTCATATAGATGTTGATTTAGAATTCTCAGAAGCAATCTAGCAAACAATCATTTTCAAGTTGTCGAAATATACGATAGCGATTCCCCTCAAAAAGGAACGTTATCTTAGTACCCTCGCTCCCGAACTCATTTCTTGTTTTAGTAGGCCAATTTGGGCATGGGTAAACTTATGATTCATGTCAATTATCCCTTGAACACTACTTGAAAGGTATGAACGAGGTTTATGAGTTTTCCTAAAACTCATTGGCGACTCCCTATTAGTTTCTTACAAAAAAGCGTAATGATAGAATTAATTCTAATTCAAGGTCCCCCAAATAGCCAGGAATTCAAAATTTCAAATCCTAACAGACCTTAAGAAAGTGTAAAGTCCTAGGATTTTAAAGGGACATGGGCATAGAGGAAGTGGGATCCCCAACGACGGGCTACCCTCCTCACAATGGCGACTCCAGTGGGGACTTAGAGGTTACAAGATTAACTTTTTATTATGGTTCAAGGTTTCCAACTTAGGTTACCTATGAGTTGTAACAAAGGCTAACTTGGATAATCTCTAATTAGAGAGCGAGACTTGAATGCATAATATTTTCCTTTTTCACAAAAGTAAAAACCAAATAAGCAACATTGCATCATGCATAATCATAACACACTTTAACCATTGGGAATTGGCTCATTGACTAGGGGTCGCCAACACTAGGCTTCTATCCCGATATCAATAACAATCATCCCACCCATATCGCCAACAAAATGTTGGGAGAATCATGACATGGGTCAACACGTTGAGTGATTGATTCGTGCATCCTTCTTAAGATATGGTACCTTTGGACACCCAAACCTTGACCATAGAATGACATTGTATGCTTTGATGGTTCCTTTTATGTGCTTATGTGACTATATGAATATGTGCTTCATGTCTAATCTAATTAATTCCAACCTGTTACCTAGAGATATTAAAAAATTCGAAAAAAATATGGTTCGACAAAAAAAAAAAACTAAAAATCGTTTAAAAAAAAATAAATCAAAATATCGAACCTGCCAGGTTGCGCGCGCAACTGTCAATGTTGCGCGCGCCCTCCAAGCGCAAGTCCAGAAGTTGTGCGTGGCTCTTCCGCGCAATTCTGGTTCTTGCGCGTGCCCACTGTTCAATGTTAATTTTGACTCATTACGAGCAATGTTATACGGAGAGAACGATATTACCGCTTCAAGGTTAATTATTAAGTAGGTGTTAATAATATCTCTTTGCTAACAAGGTTGTCTAACGTAGTTGCTTTTACTTTGTTCATCTTTTCTTTTGATAAAAAAAAATCCAAAAACATGTCTTTTATCATTCTTTTATTTTTGTGTTTTCATAAAAAAAAAGCGTTATCTCTTATTTTTGCAAAAAAAAAAAAAAAAAAAAAAAGCACATATGGCAGGCGCTACTCTCGAAGTTGCACTCTCCACCT